CTGCCCCTCCTCAACCATCAACCAACAACATCACCACCACCGCTTCTCTCCAGTTCCTCCAGACTTTATACTGGAGGGGGTGAGGGTTTGCTCGGCCTTACTGGCAGGCACCGGCGAGCCTTGCGTTGGGAATTGCTGTGCCGGAGCAAGAAGGCACTGGTCCGGCTCCTCACCCCACGACAGATCAACCCGGCATCCCCACGGATGCCAGGCTGCCCAGTCCCACTTTTGGCTCCTGCTGACCCGGGTGTGTATCTGCCCCCTGCGCCGTGGGCGGAGGAGTGACGGTGCCACGGGCGTGTGAACGTGAACCCGTACCCCACCTCACTCTCCCCAATCGGCACCTGCTCCCCGCTGGGAACGCAGCCGTCCCCCCGCCGAACCTGGGCAGCTGGGGCTGTGGGTGCAGAGATAACACCCCAGCCCCTCGCGGCAGGGTTTAAGCTTGATTCAAAGCTCCTGAGTCATAAGGGCCTGGTTTACACAAGGAGCTGGGCTAGGAGGGAGGCACGCCGCTAAACCCAGCCTGTGAGAACGGCCTAATCCCGCACAGACACCGTCTCAGTTACTAATAGTGGTTTGATGCCAATTGATGGGGAACGGCCTTAAGCCAAAATAAACCGAGGCGGCCTTAGACTGGCATGAAAACAGCCGCGTGGGGGTTGGACTGGCTTAGTTACAGCTCAGCTTAATGGGTCGGAGCGTCCTGAGTGGAGTAGTTTACCCAAAGGGAGAAAAAAAAAAAAAAAAAATCTCACCTGGGATGCTCTGAATGGTTTTAAATTACAGCCCGGTCCGGATGGAGGCTGCAGCTGAGCAGCTTTCACTTATTTTGATCATCCCACATGCCTGTCTCTTAGGCCATGCGAACCCCAACCTGATCGGGGTGTTTCAGTAACGTAAATAATCATTGCTGGCATCAGTGATTTCGCAGCATGGATCCAAGTGCATGAAATGCTGCCGGCCCTTCCTCAAAGCTGATGCAGAGTGTCCCACAACACCATTGCCCCTGCATTTCAAAAGCTCGTCATGTTAATAAAGCAAGGAAGGCAGAGCTGGCCGAGCCTCCAGCTTGGCCCCTGAACCAACTGCCTCGTTAACCCCAGAGATAACGGGAAGAGTAATGCCATGACACCCAGGCAGCACGGGTAAGCCCGACCTCCTCTGCCCCTGGCACCCGTCTCCGACCCCCTGCACCTCATCTCTCCCCACCCGCCTGTGCAGAGGTTGGGACAAGCCCTGGCATTATTTAATAGTGTCCCAGCTGGGTTCAGTCTGCATAAGACCCACACCAAGAAAGTACTGGCAGCTTCCCCTGAGCAAGGAAGCAAACACAGCCACCCGTGCCAGTGCCGAGACCCCCCCAAGCTCCCGCTGCCCCCCCCAGCCCCTGGTCCTCCCTATGCGATGCCGAGAGTGATGCACCCATCCCCGTGCATGGTGTGCCAAAACCCCACCAGCACCCTGGGGGGCTCGGGGCCGTGTCCCTCTGGGTGCTGTCAGCTGATGGGTGATTTTTCCCCGCTCTTC